CTTTATCTTACAGGCTACCAAATAATCTGTTTTTCATTTGTGTTGGTGCTTGTTATCAAGGAGGAGTGCTGAGATGTGAGATGCACTTGTAGATTACGAAACTGGGCAGTGATGTGAAAATTAGACAGGCCGAAGAATTAGATAGGCGTATACTCTATTGGTAATATACAGAAAACAAGTAAACAAGGGACACATGGAAGCTATGTGTTTCCATGTGTGGAAGGAAATAAGCAAATATAAAGAGATTCAGCTTGAAAAACCTATCAATCAATAATTCAGAAAGTGGTGTGGAAAGATAACAGATGGGAAGGACCTGCTCTGCAAGGTAGGACTTTGCAGAGCAGCTTGGCAGCAGAACAGGTTAAGAGAAGCAAAATCAAGAATGGAAGCACAATAACACGACATTTCTTAGTTTTAAAAGTTGCCCCCAAAACATTTAAGATGACCAAAGGTAACTGAGAAGAGAAGGGAAGACGGGGAAACTGAGTGGTGACAAATTGAAAATATAGGCAGTTTGGCACACCTATAGGTGAGGGATGCAGATGTTAGTAGTTCTTTGCAAGGTTGTTGACACCAAGCAAAGACAGAAATTAGAGTGGGACTAAAAAGGAGTGGAGTGCAATGTCAGAGCCATAGCCTGGGGAATTCTGTTGGAAGATCCATCTCAGGGACTTCATAAAAGGATGGCATTAGAAAGTGAACAGAGAAAAACCCAAACATATCCTAATAAGATGACAGTCATAGATGTCCTCATGGTTTAATCTGCTATTTCTTTTAAAAGGGCCTGATATTTTTTTCCTTCTAATTCACGTTGTTTAGATTTCGGTGAATGCTATACAACACTAGGAGTGTCCCACTGTGGAGGAAGTGGGTTCACATTCTGTAAGGCACAGGATAGAACAAACTCCTTTATTCCATATTTTAGTGTAAACTCAACTCGTAAAGAAGCAAAACAGGCCACAAGCACCTACCTCCCAAGATCTGCTTTTGTTGTTGTTGTTTTGTTGTTGGTGGGCTAACCCACCTTCTGTTTTTGAAAGACACAGTGGGAAGACCTAGTTTTAAGAGTATTTTGTGGCTGTGACTGCTGAGTGAAGGGACTTGCTTCCTTGGATTCAAGGCAGCTCAGACAAGAAGTACCTTGGGATCTAGCCCGTAGGTTGCTGAAAGTGCTGGTTGTAGTGCACTTCTGATCTCTCTGGCTGGTGGTATACAGTATTTGCAGTACTGAAGGTAAGAAGGTCTGCCATTGGCCAAGGTTTTTACTCAAAGGTGTCTGAGCATTTGGCATGTGCAGCAGAGCTGGAAGTCTCAGGAGTGCTCCCATGTCCACCAGGACAGAGTATACCTTCCAGCCCATGGACATCTCCCTGTATCATTTGTCTCTGGTTTCATTCTTTTCTGAGAAGGTGGTAACAGCTGAAGAGAACAGTTAGAATTTCAAATTTCAACATTACTTTTGAGAATAGAGAACTTTATTCCTATGGCATAGATAAATAGGCTTATACTTTTAGTCTGTCAGACCTTCACCTCTAACTAAACTAAACAGGATAATACAAACACTGTCTTAGGAAGTCCTGAATCACTGATAACTTACCATGAGTAAGTAAATAGTGAATTAGGGTTTAATGATGAAGAATCCTTTCTGTATTGCCTTGTTTCCCTCTTTCTCATCTGCTATTTTTCTTTTTCCCATCTACTGCCGGTCCTGTTGAAGACGAGGGTACCAAGCTAAACAGACAGTTGATCTGAGCCAGTGTAGAAATCCTTCTGTTGTCTTCTGTGGGAAATCCATCCCTAAATTTAATGTTGTGAATTCCTCTAGGCAGCTGGGCGCCTAAATGTAAAATGATATAGTATATGTTGCAGACCTTAGTGCTCATATGGAAAAATCTAGCCACATCCCCCAGTACTTCAAGGAATGAATTGTATGTGGAAATGAATAGAGAGTGGACAAGGCATAACATTCTTACAAATAGGCGTCCTAGAGATGAAATTAATTTTGAGCAATAACTGGCTTAAAGTAAAAATAAAACAATAGGCTAAGCTCAATACAGAAAACGTAAGAGATATTTGGCTGTGGAACAGTTTCTCAAGGGAAATGGCCAAAATCTGTCACTTTGTCTTACTTATGGCATTTGTTAGCATTCTAATTTGAAATCGTGAAGAATAGAGTATATGGAACAATGCAGAAAGGCAAGAAGCTAAACTATAGTTCATCATGCCTTTCAGATTGATTCTGGAGGCTATCACTGATCCACAGACCACTAAGAACTAAACCTTTATCACTTCTAAGTGCTCCAGTTTACAGGAAAAGCAATAATATTGCTTAAAAAGATTGTCATTATTGAACCACTCCTAGAGTGATGTGACCATCTTTACTGTTATTAAAGAAATGATAACAGAGGCCCAATTTTTTGTTTTTGACAGTTTTCCTATTCCACAAATGGCAATTTCCTTTAGGATTTTTAAGATTAGCTGAGTGAAGTGGCAGTGAGGTAAAACATATGCTAGTTAAAACTTGTTCTTTCCATGAGAGCACATTTTCCTATGACATCGGTGGTGTATTTTTTGAAATTGGCTCCAGGCTTGGCTCTGGTTGCAAGAGAGAAGTCATTTAATTGTCTGTTTTGGGACATGGTTCATTACTGCACACATTTCCACAGTCCACTGTTCTCTTGTTCAGCTGGATAGCAGTTATCTTGGAGTGGCTGGTAGGCTCTCCATCACTGGAGGAATGAGGTTGGCAGTGGAAAAGCAGACGAAAGCATTTGTAAAACTGAAACAACAAACAAACACATAGTGGCAAAGTAGGCTAAAATTCAGAGCATCTTTACAACAGTCTGAAGGAAAAAAAAAAAAAGGTCAGACATTAAACGTGTACTTTTGGGCAAGTTGTCATTAAATATCTTTTCATTGTGAATCCATGCTTCCTGCTGCTTAAGATTCAAGTTCTCTTATATTTGTGGACTTTTCTTTTGGAATTGATATTCTTATCTTCTCTAAGACCACTGATTGTGTAGAATTTAAAGCTGCAGAACGATCTAAAACATTTTCTGAACCTTTCATTTATGATAAAAGATTTAATCACAGAAATAATTGGTTTTGAGCTACTTCACACATCAGGAGGAAAACATCATTTTGATAATCTAATGATACACAGCAGGAAGAACATAAGGTTCTTTTCATTAGTAAGCCGTTGAAATCTCTCTGTTCCCAGTCTGCAAACTAAACTTCAAACAATGGCTTTGCTTAATTAAAGAACCAAAATAACTTTTATGTTAATTCATTTCACTTATGAGAATTACCCACAGCACCTTTGATGCTTTATGATTTCAAAGCTCTTGTACAGAAAAAAAAACAATTACTTCAGTTCTCATTTGTAAGTGCCAAGTGAACAGCATTAACACAGCTGTCTCCTTCTCTGAGAGCTAGCAGTTGTATTCAACAGATAGAAATGCAAGTTGTGCAACAGGTGCTTCGCTATGTGTTCTATAAATTTTGATTTTTTTAAATGAAATCATAAAAAAGTCTCCAAGTCTCCATTCATCTCCATTATTTTCCTTTTGCTTGGCTATGTCAAACAGAAAAGACTCCCATCAACTGTGACTGATGTGAGAATGTTACTGTTTAGACAATGCTGGTGATCACCAGTAGCTCATACTAACCCTTTGAAAATGTGCAAACTCAACAGTAAGATTTCTTTGATTTTCAAAGCTATAAAGAGCCCTTTATTTGTGCAGATTAACCATCTTATGTCAGGAAAACGAATTTTGCATATGCCCCCCTATCATTCCCCTGTATCTGTCATGGCCTTGGGGTAAGCAGAATAACAGCATCCTCTGATTGCAGGTGACCTTTGGTTAGCTTTAAGCAGTAAATGAATTTCCATTTGGCCTTTCTGAGTGGCTATTGGCACTGCTGATAACAATGTTATTGAATTGTTGCACTAAAAAATGCCCTGGCATTTTGTAGGTTCATCTTTGCTCTGTAGCAGGTGGTCAGATGCTTTTCCAGGTGACAGTCTCCCCCTAACAGGGAATTCACAATTCACAGAAAGAATGGACTTTTTCACCATCAATACATGGCTGATTCTGCTCCTGTTTGTCTGTCTGCATCATTTTGGCTGCCATCTTGACAATGTATGTCTGTATAGAAAGAAGCAAGTGGATGGAAAAAGCGGAGTATGTTCAATTCAAGACTGAGAAAAAAATATATTATGATAAAGGGTGGAGTACTCAAGGAATATAGTAATATTGTGCTCTTGTTAGTGATTTCAACCAACCATCCAAAAGTCAATGAAGAAACATAGGAGATACTGGCCCATCTTTTTATCCGTGTTTCTCTTTACCATGATGTACAAAAAAAAATCAGATTCTTCATATCCTTGAAATTAAACGTGTGTAAATATTTCTAAAAAACATGCTATCTGAAAGCACAGAGAAGGGTAAAAAGAGCCTATCTCTTTATATCACCTATACATGGCAGGTTAGAGTTTAGCTGTGAAGTGATAGAAATAACAAGAAAGGCAGAAATACCAAGAAAAGCTCCTAAAAAACGAACAAACAAACAGGCAAACAATTCTGTGTGGGTTCCATACTCTGTAAGTGAATGTAAAGATCACGTCTGTCTTGCTAAGTAGCTTCAGGAGTCAATAATGTACAAACAAGGGATGTGTTAAAGCGGCTTCCTCCCTTGCAGAGGCTGCTGATGCTATGCCAGGCATTTACAGGCTTCTCATTCTTTCCTTATGTTCAGTGTCCTATCCTGTCAGCTCTGCAGAGGATTGCAGTCTTCATGTATCAGTGACAAGTGAAAGCTGCTCTACTAAAATGGAGTGATTACCTCACGTAGTGTCTTAAGCAAGCACAAAGCAATGCGTGGGGGGTACAGCACATGAATGAAAGCGAGGAAGTAAAACTAGACTGGATGATTGCAGTGGAAATGCTGGGAGAAAGGTGAAATCCGGGGTTAATTTTTGTTCTTGCTTTCTGCTGCAGGTATCCTCATCATGATGTCCATGTGTAATGAAGTACACGTGTATGAGTACATCCCTTCAGTCCGACAGACCGACCTCTGTCACTACCATGAACTCTACTACGATGCAGCTTGTACCTTAGGGGCTTACCATCCACTGCTCTATGAGAAGCTGTTGGTTCAGAGGATGAACAAAGGTTTGCAGGATGATTTGTATCGGAAAGGGAAAGTCATTTTGCCAGGGTTCAGGTCTGTCAAGTGCCCTGAACGGAATAATTTCCCACACTTGTAAAAGAGAATCTTTCACAAACAATGTGCAATAAGGTACTACTGTTGTACTATAAACAAGAAGAGAATACTTGAAAAATACTTGCATCTTAGACCAATCTAGTCTTGAGTCTATAAATTTTAAGTAAGTAGCAGGCATGAGAAATACTTTTTTTCTGAGCCTGAGTATTTATTACTGCTTTGCAAATAGTTAAAGAAAAAAAAGCTTAGCTCATGAAGGATGCAAAGGACATAATTAGGCAGAAATATAATGTATTGTTGTGGGTGTGACTGTCAGAATTTGTTGGTGGTCTCTTATGCCACATGTGCTAGATTGTAATTTTTTTTTTAATGAACTTATTTAACTGTTACATCTGGCATTGAGAAACAGCTTGTATTGTTCCTGTACAGAGCTGCCGGCTGAACAATGCAGCATTTCTCGTGGCTCCGTGGGATTTTCACACTCTCCAAGAATGAAGTAATCACTACTCTGAGCTATGCATTCATTGATTAGGGTAGACTAATTCTCATTCAGACACAGGCTCAGTTACAGGCCTCTAGCAATATAAGGGGCCCTATGCTGGCTACAAAGTCAATGCAAATGGACATTGCTGTACACACAGCTAAATCAGTTAAATGACATGTCTTTGATGTCAGATCCCCAAGCAGAAGAGAGAAGACAGAAAATTCTCCTTTCTCCAGAAAGCAAAAAACATTCTGAACCCAGTCTGGAAAAATTATTCTCTGTGGGAGGCTTATCCAGAGGGTGTAGGCAAGACTGAACTCATGCTTTAAGGTGCCTTTCCCCAGTCAGCACAGATGAAGAATAGTCACCCAAAGAATACCAAGGGAGGCTGTGTAGCTTGCACACCTTACACCAAAAGCAAACCTAGATGGAGTGCTCTTTATAGCAAAGACAGCTTTCAGGTTCACAGACTTCATTTGTTAGGTATTTCAGTGTGATCCAGATCAAAGTCACTTGCTCACAAGTTACTGTTTTTAAGAAAGCAGAGGGAGTTTTCTAACAAAGAGGATATCTTCTTTTTTTTTTAATTTAACATTTGAAGGACTATACTGTAGATAAACTGTAATGCTAGCAAAAAATGACTATGGCTGCATATGGTATTTTCCTTCATAATACACAAGCAGGATATTCTCCAAGGCACTTCTAAATAACCACATGGATACTAATGCATTTTAAACATTACTTTCCACAGCAAGGCTTCAGTTTCAGATTTTCAGAATGGCAGAACATTAATGTTCTCTTTTTTTACATCACTGTGCCCTTAGATACTATACACTTTTCTTAGGGTATGTTCAGGAGAAAGGTTTACGTACGTAAAAGCACAGCTATATCCAACCCCAGTCTATTCAGCAAAAGGCAGATAGCTTAAAGAGGCACTGAAAACAATCGCAGTGTGTGGAAAGTATGGTGGAAAGTATATTTTATTTTTGGTCTTAAGCAACAGAAAGGCAATCAGAGAGTACAAACACAATATTAATGACTATTTCCTCTCCAATAATAGTAATGTCAGTATGATCACAGAATCTATCTTCTCTCACTCTGCTATTATGGTCTGATAAATTTTCTTCCTCAAAAGCAAATTGTGTTTCCTACATACAGTTTAGCCTTTTGTTTCCTGCCTGGTCATTTTATTTGTTTTGGGTTTTTTTCTTTGTTTTTTGGGGTTTTTTGGTTTTGTGTTTTTTTAGCCTCTAAATTTCCTCTCATTGATAGAAAGTATGTCCAGATGATCTAAATTCTGTACTTGTGTGTTGTATGGATAGTAATGTCCATAAATAATTTTGGTGCATATCGAAATGAATAAGTTTTATTCACACTAGCCTTAGCCTCCGCATATATTATATACTGACTTTTAATACTACGTATGGCAACTACTTTTATTCTTAAAGGATAACACCCATGTAGTTTTGTGGAGAAAAGGTGACCTAAATAGATCTAATAATCTGTTTCTTTTACGTGTATTTGGTTCCCTGTTGGCAAAACATATGAAGTCTGGACAAGTGCTATCAAACACTTCTCTCTTTCCTGTATGATGGGTTAGCTACTATGTACCTGTAAAGGAAAGGCTTTTTTGCTTTCAACGAAATGAAATAAGCTAGTAAATATGCTATTTTCCCATTAACAGGATATTATCAAGCTCTAAAAAAGATCACACAACTTTTGACTGCAACCACTAACCTTAAACTGTGATTTCCACAAAGAAGAGAAATAGTAACTGCATTACTCAATTATCCGCAGCAGGATTATGTTTTATTACGCCACCAGTAATTTGTTGGCATAATCCGTATAGCTGTTGTACAAAGCAATGCAAACTCTTAAAGTTTCTTGTTAGAAGTACTAAGCATACTTACTTGATACATCATTTAAATAACAGTGCAAAACCAGGGCTGGGATGTCAGAAAATAGACTGTACGTTTTTAATATGTCGAACTCTGCGGAAACCAGCCCTTCTACCAGAAATTCTTTCTTTTTCCATATGCCCAGACTCTTTCACCTTTGAAGATACTGGGCAACTAGCTCCATGAAAATTTGGTGCATATCTGCCCAGATCTATCCTAATTTATAAGGCAGTCAAAAGTCACAAGTCAAAAGTCAATATGGGTGATGTAGCATTAGGAGATGCTTCGGAGGGGTGCTACAAGCTCACAGAGGAAGAGCACCAGCTTGGGACATCCATCCTCTCAGAAAAAGTGGGCATCCTTAGAGTGGCTTCTGAACACTGGTTTCCACTGTGACTAGTTTCACTAGTCTGTCTGCTCAAGCATCTTAAAAGAGAGCTTACTCCTCCTGCCTTGTCTTGTCCGTACAAGTTCATCCATTTTGCTAACTGAGGGCTCACCTCCACCTTGTACAAGGAGAGGGGAAGGAGCAGAAATAAAGGAGGAACATAAAGGACCTATAGGGGTTCTGCAACCACCAGTGTGTGCATTCTCTCTGACTTTGGTGTTGCTGGCTTTTTTAGGAGCCTACCAAGTATTTTGAATTTGTGGGTAATTCCTGTACCCTTATGAAGGCAGAGAGGTTTTTACAAAGGATCAGCTTCAGTCAGTTTAAAATAGTGATTGACTATGTAATAACACTGAAACTGTGTTCTCTTCTTCTAATAATAGTAACTTGCAAGAGCACTGCTTTTACACATGTGTGTTAATTGCAGCTAATGTGAAAGGAAATGCATTTTCCTATGCAGATCTTGGGGGATTTGGGGAAATAGATAAAGGCATGGCTATCCTACACAAAGCGAAGGGAACGACAGTGTAGAGAAGGTCTGCTCAAACACTCTGCTCTGCATATATGTGCATATAGTGAGGCAAATGCCAACGCTAGTTGGCAATTTGGGCTCCTTCACAATGCTGCAGGCTTTAAATTTCGCAGGGGTTACTGATAAGTAGGAATAAATTGCCTTCTAAAGCTAGAGCGCCTCATTCTGTGCCATGGTACTGTGAATAGCAGTTGCACTTGATTAAAACAAAATAGAAACACAGCAGCAGTTTAAGTAAATGTGCTGAATTTATGTTGAATTTTGTTATACTCTTTTTTTCCACTGTGAATTCTGTGGCTTTTCTGACTCGTGGTGCTCTGTTATATTTTGCATTCAGCCTTTGGATGGTTAAATCAAGGTATTCTTCTGTATTAAAGACTAACAATGAAAAGATTTTGCCTCATTTTGAGACAAAGTCTTCATCCTAGAAAAAAATTATTTTATTGTTCCATTCATGTATAGTTCTAAGGCTTACCTGGGCATAATCTCACTGTCAGGCCGTCCTTCCATGGACTAAACTACTGAAACTTCTCTCTTTCCCTCATTGTGCTGGTCTGACTCTAATAAAGTCAGTGAAGTTAAAATGATGCAACAAATACATACCTTTAGAATAATTTACATACTCTAGACTGATTCACAGTCAGCATAAATTTAGCTAAATCATTGGATGTCTTTGCTCAGGACCCTTTCTTTGGTGACAACATCCAAATTTTGAACTTGCTGCGGTAGACTTCTTGCCAAAGTCATCAAAACCAAGACAATTTCTTCTTGAATGAAGACAAGTGTCTACATTAAATGTTTGCATAGATGGAACTCAGTCATTTTAGAGATGATTGAAATAAACAGGAATTCAAAACACAGATAGACTAATCCAAATTTATAATGATTTTTTTCATTTCTGTCTTCTACAGCAGTTCTTAAGGATAGGAAATGCCATTTGGACAGTGACACAGAGGTGCCATGAAATAAATATTAGATGCATTGATTGCAAAAATAAATGATTAGCATTTTTCCTTTTATGTTCTCTAAAGTTAATGGGTACTGAAAAAAAAAAGGAATTGTTTATTTGAAGTAGGTATTTCAGAAAGCGGTCATTAAGACATCTAGATGCCTTTAGAAGGCATCTAAAATTTTCCTGGGAGCTATTCTCTCACACACAAGGAAGGAAGATACCTGATTTAACTATTAACTATTTGAACTCTAAAGTAGCCCGTGTCTGGGCACACCTGTTTCATTAAATAAAATTTGACACTGCAAATTTTGTCTCTCTGGCTTAGTGAACAGGTTCAACATTTTGTTCTTGAAATAACAGTTGTGTGTAAAAGCCTTACATTTATTCATATCATCCCATCTGTCTTATGATATGTAGTCATTAAACTATTCAAATATAGACTGTGTACTTTTTAATAGCTTTGAGAATTATTTTGTATGATGATTTTTTTAAATTAATGTGTACTCTAATAACAAAGTTTGAGATTTTACAGGAGTCACATTTTTAAGCAGTGTTTGTATACATTTTAACACTTTTTATATTTTCTATTATGATTTTGTATATTTTTATGTATGCACAGTGTACAGAGTTTTTTCCTGTAAATAAAACATTGGTTTTCATTTGTTCAGGAGTTCTGGTCTTTTGATATGGGCTTGGGTGGATGACACTGAACTGCAGACAGCGTGAAAGAGGCAAACTGAACCGAACTGCAGAAACACTGTGAAAATTGTTGTCACTTCTGCCCACTTCTGCAACAAAATCTCAAATCAAAATGGACAGTTAGGCTGACAGAAAGCTTTCACAGTAAACCCCACGCACACACACACAAAAAATTGTAAAGTCAATTTTATTCTAAAATGAGCCTGTCTACCCAAGTGAGAGCTCTGGGGTTCCCCTGGGAGAATGCAGCCACAGCAGTCAATTTCTTGAGACAGTTAAGGCCCTCTCGGCTCTCTTAAAGGGTTCACCATATGCCCTGGTGTCTTGACACTGTACTCAAAAAGCTGGTAAAATTCAACAGAATGGCACTGTCACCAGTTCAGAAAGTCCAGTAGTGAGTCTTAAAGA